TATACTTACAACCATAGTAGAAAAATTAATGGTATAACCGTTCTCTCTTTTCGTAGTCATATTAAACTTCTGACGTTTAAGCGATTTATTTCTTAATTTAATTTACAGTGTAAATTATAAATTACAATAAACATATGCAAAAAATTTTTGCAGTTCTCTAGAGAAATTAAACTTTAAAGTTCTTTAATTATAAAAAGTGCAAAATAGAAGAAAAAATGCCAAAAATGCACTTTTAATGCTAAAAATTTCTAGCAAAAGACGAAAAAGTGCTGAAAAGCATCTAGCACTTTTTTCTAAAAAATAAGTGCAGCGGACGAAAAAAAAGTGCTAGAATTGCACTTTTAATGCCGTTATGGCAACACTGTTTGTGACGGTGCCAGAGATACAAGCCGAGACGGCTTAAATCGGCGGCGAATGGCCGCCGGTAATATTTTGCAAGCCCGCCGACTTCTTTCGGCTCAAAAGCTAAGCCGGCTTAAACGTAGCCGCTGATAAATATTGGAATCGCACATGTATTTCAGAAAATAATTTCACCAATGAATAGAGTTGCCACTATTTTAAATTCTTATGGCAAATTGAAAAAAGTTGCCACACAATATTGTGCTAATATTAAAAGATTATAGATAATATTAAAACTATAAATGTCCATTTTCTTCAGAAAAAAAACTTATATAGAGATAAGTTTCTATATAACAGACTATTATACAGAGATTTTTCAATATAATTAACGCTTATAAGGTCAATTTCTGAAGAAAAACTTAAATTGAGCCGACAATTTAGCCGCCGCCGATATTTTCTATAATAAGCCGCCGCCGCCGACCTAAAATGGTTGCGCCGCCCCCGCCGATCATTTTGCATCGGCTTGTATCTCTGGTAGCCGCTGATGAAGATTGGAATCGCACATGTATTTCAGAAAATTATTTCACCAATTTGAACGGAGTTGCCACTATTTTGAATTCTTATGGCAAATTGAAAAGAGTTGCCAAACAATATTGTGCTAATATTAAAAAAGTGAAACTACTCACTCTTCTTCACACATTTTTAAAAGCATCGGATGCTCTTATTGCATTTAGGGATATGTTTAGTAATTTTGGGGAAGAAATTCATACGGTTTATACCTTAGAGATTCAGAGTGAGGAGTTAAAAACATCTTGCAAAAATGTTAAGACGACTTACAACGTATGTCTTAACACTTTAGAAACTAGTGAATTTAAAGTAGTGAGAGCTAAATATCAAGCCACCTACTCAGCTTATGTCCAATGTGGAGGATCCATATATGAAAAAATTGATAAAATCAAATCGGCTTCGAAAAGTAGTGAATCTCCAACGGTAAATCCGAACTTCGGTAATTCAGAGCATAGTCTGACTCTACCTCCTTGTGATATCGACCTATTAATTACCGCAATTTTTATTAATAGCTCCTGGCTTAGCAATATAGAACGCCATTGCCATTTAATACGTAAAACCGAGGGTGAAGCAAAAGAAATCGTCTCTAAATATCCACTTGTTAACGCAAGTTTTGAGGTAGCCTGGCGCGATTTAAAGGAAGCATATGAAAATCCTCGTATGTTGGTACATAACCAACTAAAACATATTTTTGGTCTTCCTATCCTTGACAAGGAATCGGTAACAGCACTCAAAACATTACAACCCGGAATTAATAGTTGCCTTACGACTCTTTCTATTTATAAAGTGCCTACTGATAATTGGGACCCAATTATCATTTTTACGTGTACTCAACGTTTGCCTAGATCTACAGTTATTTTGTGGGAACAGTGTGTTAAGAACAAAACTGTTTTGTCCACATGGAAAGATTTCGATTACTTTCTGTCAGAAAGAATTCAGACGTTGCAATGTCTTTATGATCTTAAAGGTACGAACTCGACTGACGTCTTTTCTGTACTTTCTAATAGTTCTCCTTCTACTAAACTTCCATGTATCTTATGCCCTAATCAGTCTCACTATTTGCGAAATTGTCGCCGATTTAAAAATCTTTCAGTATCTGAAATAATTTCTACTGTGAATGATTATAACTGCTGTACTAATTAATATTAGACATAATCAGTCCGTTTTGTTAGGAATGCAATGGTAAACATAATTCATAACAGCCATAAGTCCGTGTTTTAATAGATTCGGGTTCAGAATGTTCTTTCATTTCTGAACGTTTACGAAAAAGATTAAAACTTCCCACTCATTCTGCGAATTCTAACCTTTCTGGCGTTAATAATGTAGTTTTTGGAGTTACAAAATTTTGTCCTTTGGAAATTAGTTCAGATTTAGATTTTTCAATAAAACTATCAACTAACGCCTTTGTTTTACCAGAAATAACAGGAAATTTGCCTTCGACTTCTGTGAATGTCGATATTGAAAAATTGTTGCCAAATCTTTGTTTGGAAGATTCTAATCTTTTTACTAGTAGGCCTGTAGATATTCTTATCGGAGCAGATTTATATCCACGCATTATTTTACCGGAAATACAACAAAACGTATTAGGATCATTATTGGCACAGAAAACTATATTTGGGTGGATACTGACAGATGCAGCTAATCCTAGGGACTTTGAAACAATTTGACGATTTAACGTATTCTACGTGGTCTTTAACCTTTTTAACCTTTAATTTATTATCGCTTTAAAACGCTCACAGAAATATATTTATGTTCCTACCTTCTTATTTATTATCTTTATATACATATATTACATTACTTATATTAAATAATAATCCACCTGCAGGACTTCGGTTCTGTGGGGAAAATCGAGAGACTTCGTAAGAATCTTCATCGTATTTAAATCGTTTGCAATTCATTATGTATTGCAAGGTGGCCGGCAATGTTTAAGTTAGAATTGATGTAACTACTTTTTTGTAATACTTTTTATAACAACGTTAGAATCTTATAGAGCTCCTCTTTATTGCAACTTTGTTGAAAGATTCTAATGAGTAAACCGCTAACGGTGCTTAAATATTAGCCACCAAATTTATGCTTGTTTCGTTTGGCATTATAAATCACTTTTGATTTGTCTACGACACAAGCACTACGTGTATATTACATTTAAAAACCAACTACTTCTACGAGGTAATATTCTGGTTTAAATAAAAGATCTTCATCTCCAATAAATTTGAAATATTCTTTGTTTTATTTTTATATAAAATCTTCGGAATCTTGTTGGAGCTAACAGTGAATTTTTAAAGAGGGTGGGGACTAGGGTCAAATGTGATCCGATTTTCACCAAACTTTACACCATGATTTTTGAGTACACAAAACTGGCCCTTGCTAAATTTCACCATGATTGTTGCATTATTACCATAATTATGTGCAAATAAGTGGGGGCTAGGCGAAATAACGGACCGCTTTTAACCAAAATCAGTTGGGTTCATCCTTGAGCCTAATTAACACTAACACTATCAAAAAAAACCAGCCATTAACTCAAAAAACACATCTAATAATTTTGGCCAGGTTCAAGTTCAGTTAAAGTAAGGTTGTTACCCCAGGAGATGGTAAGATTGACTCAAATCAATCTCCACCATTCTAAAGCAGCATCAGCTGCATAGGTCCTTTGATACATATGCAACTCTTCAATTTCATTATAAGTAGAAATTTGGAAGCAGTAAATGGGGGTTCAGAACCCACATTTATTGTATGAAACTAAAGGGAGGTACTAGACATTACACTCGTGAGTGCTAGGCATGGCGAATGTATTACGCATTGAATTGTATCTAATGACTGTTCTTTGTAAGACTATCGGTATATAGATTTTCTAACAAATTATATAAGAGGGAATACGAATATTACTCTTAATAGAAGGGAAACTAACTGGGAAGTTTAGTATAACCTGTATTCCTTGTCTTTTACCTCTCACCCTACTCTAGAATGTATTGAGGATATTGATGCAGTATACAACATACCGAAAATGCTAGGAAAGAATGTCGTAAGTTGTTCAATGAGGCAAAGAGGTCTAATAACTGGATACCTTAAAAGACCTTAGTGAATCGTTTTAAAAATTTTACTAGAAATGCAATACTATATACTTCGCATGTTGCCCCGAGAATTCCATGCTTAACAGTTTCGTCACCTACAAATCTGAGGGTCTGGATTCTGAATTACGAAGATCTTGTCAAAACTGAGCTTGTCCTTTTACAAGGAGGTATAAATCCTGATGTAACGAATGTTTACACTGATGACTCCAAAAATAATGGAAGGGTGGGTTATCGTTTAACAGGTAGATATACTGCTGGTTAAAACAATTTTTGTATGGATAAAAGGTAATTGAGAAAATGGGGGTTAGAATTAAATCGACTTTTAGGTTACCTAATTGTTGTAGTAGTTACCCTTCTTACCTAAACCTATGTAGATCCCGGCGTAAATTAGAACCTACTATTTCGTTCTATTACTTTTTGAGTTTTCTTTAATATTGAACCTAGAAGAGAGCATGGAGTAAGTGGGAAACTATAAACCTAAAAACATAAAATTAAACATTCAGAGTACTAAGTGAATGAAAATCTATAGGAAAGGATTTTTATATTTTTTCGTTCTTCAACTGGTACTTTTTGGTTTTTATGCAATATTGATCCCAGAAACATATAATCAGACATTTATCCTGTCTGTCTTCCGACAAAGTGCATAATTGTCGTAACACTTAAATTTCCTTTCAACAATGTGTAACCAAGTCTGATATCGCTATATGCTTCAGAAAATGTACAGAAAAGTCTAACATAAAGTTTGCCGATTATTCTGGCAAAGGTCTAAGGGAAATTTAGATATTCGTTAAAAATTCTGATAAAGTATAAGAATTTTTTTAGAAATTGTATGAAAAAATATTTGCTGGGTAGTTAGTTACTGCTATAAAAGTGTCGGACTTATACTTTAGTGAAGGGTATATAGTTATTGGATATTAAGGATTTAATAAAATGGTTGAACTGAGATGAATCACAACAATTTGTATGCCTGTATGCCATATTTTGATCTCACACAATACCGCCCACAGCGTCGGTAATTTTATGCTATTATATTTAAAAATGGAAGATTTATTTAATTTTTTCAATTACATTTTCTGTCTTTAATAACGCATATTGAAGATACTAGTGCATTTGCTGTATGTAGGGAATTATCAAAACCATCATCTAATTTATCTGATATAAAGTTCACATCTTCGCCAGTGTCATATTCTGGAACTTGTAAATTTTCTTCCAATTTTATTAAATTTAATTTCAAATCTTCTTTCTTTTTATTAATAATTGTATCAATATCGTATAAACTTTCACTCAGCAATTTTTCCGTTCTCTTTGTTAATATTTTTGGTCGATAATATATACATGGCTTAGTTTTAGTTTTTATAAATGATTTTAAACATTTCATTGAACTCTCCCAAGATTCGTAGTCTTTTATACGACTCATTTTCGACTCTAAACGCTTTATTTCCATTTGTTTACGTTTTCTGTCAACAAATAAAGTTTCACGTTCTTTTTTGATCGATTCTTTTTCAAGAATTTCTTGCTCTTCCAATTTTTTTTCAATTTGTGCTTTTTTTTCTTCTTTTTGTTTCAGGCGAGACTCCTCTTGACAAAATTTGTGCAAAGTACCCAAAAGTGATCCGAACATACGACGGTTTCTTGCTCTAGATTCAGAGTCAGCACACTGTGCAGCAACAATTTCTTGTCGTGACGGCAATTCTCTTATAACCCGCGATGTTAGTTTCGGTCTTGTTTCTACATTATTGTATCGAATGGTTGGCGATGATAACCGTTTAAAAACTGACTTAGTATTATTTGTTCTTTTTTTTGATCCGGAAGACTCCTGCTGAAATTTCTTAATCGTCTTTTCATTATCACAGCGTTTTACATCATTCGATCTAAAGAAAAGAAGAAAAAACAAGCGTTATTGTAAAGGTATCAAAATAACGAATAGAATTTAAAGGACAAAGTCCTGGAACTAAGTATGTGCTAAGAGTATGTGCCATTGGATCACATCTCCGATTACGTTGTGGAAATAGTCACAAGGAATAAATGGATAGATAAAGTAAGAATGAAATACTTAAAATAATTTTTTCTGTAATATTAGGCTATACCTTGGCGTGGAAATTGTGGGCCAAAATTGATCAAAGTTACAAAATTACAAATATAAATAGATCCATAAAATGGGAGGAGTGGATGCCCCCAATGCCCTCCAACCGTCTAGTAGTCATGGATGTCATCTATCAGTACAAGAAATAACTGAGATCCACTTTCCTAAGCTACAAGTACGATTTTGTGGATTTGGTATAAAAATACCCACTTCTGAATATGTGGGTTCTAAAACGAGCATAAATTTAATTTTTCAAATAAAAATATATTTATTTCAAAAACATTTTAGCAAGAATATAAACTAAAGATTACTACGCCAGGCGAACATAATTACAACTTTTGGCGCATAAAGGAGCTCTGAAGTCACACAATCTGTGGGCCTATTGGTTTATAATTTTCAGATATAAATATAACAGTGGGAAAATTTATTATCTATATATATAAAAATGAAAGTGTGTTTGTATGTACGTATGTATGTATGTATGTATGTATGTATGTATGTATGTATGTATGTATGTATGTATGTATGTATGTATGTATGTATGTATGTATGTATGTATGTATGTATGTATGTATGTATGTATGTATGTTTGTTTGTTTGTGCTTTATAGACTGCTAAACGGCTGAACCGATTTTCCTGAAATTTTCACAGTTTCTTCCTGTATGTCTGGAAGGAACTATAGGCTACTTTTTATGTTGAAATTTTATGTGGGCGACGTGCCACGCCCATATTAAGAAAATATTAAATTAGTATATCTGAGATAATATAATAGTTAGAGTCTTCAAATTTTGTCGGAGCAACTTTAGTATCAATATAATTATTTAAGACCAAAAGTGGGCGGATTAGCATTAGGGGGCGTGGCACCTCCCATATAAATTAAATACAAGAATTCGTTTATCTTGGAAACTATTACAGTTAGAATATTAAAAATTTGCACGAGTAACTTTAATATCCATGTAAACATTTTGGGAAATAAATTGGCGGACTACCCATGAGGGGAGCAGTACCTCCCATATTAATAAAATTCAAAAATTGGTTTATCTGGGAAACTAATAGAACTAAATTCTTCAAATTTTGCACTAAGAACTTAAATATTCATCTGAACATATTTTAGAAAAAAGAGCGGAAATTCGTCATGGGGAGCTTGGAGCCCCCATATAAATTAAATAGGTAAATTATTATATCTGAGAAACTATTAGAGCTAGAATCTATATATATAAAAATGAAAGTGTGTATGTATGTACGTATGTATGTATGTATGTTTGTTTGTTTGTTTGTGCTTTACAGACTGCTAAACGGCTGGACCAATTTTCCTGAAATTTTCACAGTTTCTTCCTGTATTTCTGGAAGGAACTATAGGCTACTTTTTATGTTGAAACTAGCTAAAACCCGGCGTGCTTTGCTACTCCTGTCGATATAAAATAAAAAATTTTCAAAATATATTGATATGCATTTTTTGTTTATAAAAATTTTATTAATATTTGTTTTTCACTATCCAAAAACATAAAGTAATAAGACAAAGAAAGTTCGATATTTAAAGTATTTTATTAATTAATGATATTTATGTACATATATTATTTCTTAATAATTATTTCTTACAAGGAGGATTTTATTTCATTGATGCGCCAGGAGGAACCGGAGAAACCTTTCTCATCTCGTTAATTTTAGCTAAAGTTCGATCGCAAAAGAATATTGCCTTAGCCATTGCGTCATCAGGTATTGCAGCAACACTTTTAGATTATGCACTCAAATTACCGTTGAAAACACAATTTTCTGAAGATTATACATGTAATGTTAAGAAAAATTCTTCAATGGGTAAAATCCTGCAAACATATAAAATAATAGTGTGGAATAAATGCACCATGGCCCACAAAAAATCCTTAGAAGCGCTTGATCGCACTTTAAAGGATCGCACTTTAAAGGACAGTAATTCTAATTTATTTGGAGGTGCATTAATTCTTTTAGCGGGTGATTTTCGCCAGACACTTCCTGTGATACCTGGTTCAACACCGGCTGATGAACTCAATGCTTGCCTAAAATCATCATATCTCTGGCAACATGTTCACACGTTAAAATTAACAACAAAACAATTGCTGGATTTAGGAAATGGAAAAATGACAATTGAGCCAACCACAAATTGTGTAAAGTTTCCCTCTAACTTTTGTAGGATCACACAATCAAAGAAAGAGTTAATATATTGTGTTTTTCCAAATCTTCAACGTAATTTCAAAAATAGGCAGTGGTTATGTGAGCGTGCTTTACTGGCACCCAAAAACATTGACGTTAATTGTATCAATAATATTATTTTGAATAGAATCGATGGTAATTTAAAAACATATAAATCCATCGATAATGTTACAAATAATGATGATGTCGTCAATGTATCCCCACGAATTGAAGTTGAAAATTGGCGTTCCACTTATTTTATTGCGAAATATTGATCCACCACGTCTTTGTAATAGTACTCGATTAACAGTTAAAAAATTAATGAACAACTTAATCGAAACAACGATTACAACTGGCCAATATAAAGGAACGGATGTCTTACTACCTCGGATCTCAATGACAACATCGGAAATGCCATTCGACTTTAAACGGTTGCAATTTCCTACACGTTTGGCATTCGCGATGACAATAAACAAATTTCAGGGTTTCGAAAATCCATGCTTCTCACATGGTCAGCTTTATGTTGCATGCTCGCGAGTTGAGAAACCTTCAGATTTGTATATCTACGCGCCTGAGGGGAAAACGAAAAATATTGTATATCCCAAGGCTTTAGAATAGGAAATAATTATTAAGAAAAATTTTAATTGTAAATATTAAGTCAATTATATTTTCGTAATTTTGTAATATTTTGTAAATTTATGCTAATGAATAGGAATAAGAAATAATTATTAAGAAATAATATATGTACATAAATATCATTAATTAATAAAATACTTTAAATATCAAACTTTCTTTGTCTTATTAATTTATGGTTTTGGATAGTGACAAACAAATATTAATAAAATTTTTATAAACAAAAAATGTATATGAATATATTTTGAAAATTTTTTATTTTATATCGACTGGAGTAGCAAAGCACGCCGGGTTTTAGCTAGTTTTTATCTAAAAATTAATAGTTAGTAACTATTCTTTTCATAAATTATATTTATTGCAATTTCTTTTATAAAAATATTTTAAAATTGTTTAAATACTAGAAAGTAAAAAGGCACAATGTAAATTTTTTTCACAATCCCTCGCTAGTTTTTTTGAATATTAATTTTGATTACATTTGACCACTATTCACTCTATGTATGTTTATGTTTTTCCACTATATGTATTTTGTATTCGTTTTTCTATGTTCTGGATCATTTTTTCCGCACTTCACTACACTTCTTTATCATTTTATATTTTTTAATGTTTGAGTAAATTTAAGGCGAAATTCGTTATATTTTTCAAGAACCGATGTAATATTTTTGTCTAATCTGTCAAAGTAAATTAAATTTCAGATTTACCAACTTTTATAATATAAATTAGATTTAGAAATTGTAATTTCCACACATGAAACATATTTGGAAACCTTCAAAAGGTCTAACGGTAAATAATGCGCAAGGCGTCATCTTTAGTTTATCATTCTTGACATTTTATGGTATTAGAATACATGACTATATAAAATATTTAGACGATGAAAGGTTGACACAACCAACAGTTTTACCACCATGACTGCCACTATTTAAGCATGGTCCGAAGAAAAATATCCAAAAATAGAGGTATTTTAGAAAAATTCAAGAAACAGTTGTATCTCAAAAATACATCCATTTATAAAAAAGTATGTTTAAAAATATTATTTTTATTCATTAGCTTTTATGCAGCCAGACTAAAGTTTTGGATGGATTTAGACACCAGTTATTAAATCCGAAGAAATAAAGGTTTTAAGGTCAAATATCGTTAGATATACATACAAAAAAGTTACCCAAATAATTTTACTTATTAAAATATCCACATTTTCCTCTAATTAAAAAATTTCGGAATTTGTTATTGGTAAATGGCAAATGGAAAATGTGTGCTGAAATTATTCAAAATCATTATTTAATTTGAAAAGCTTGGAATAAATACGGTGCTACATACGTGCAGAATTTTTGGTATATCAAGATAATTTTTTGATGGTTTATTTAACTTATTGCAGATTTTTATTGTTATCACGATTTAACAATAAATTTAAATTATATATTTTTTATATAAAGTGATGGGAGTAATATATACGGATCTACAACAATATAATTTTGATAAAAAATTTCCATATGCTATTGTCTCGATCGTAGTAAACTACATCAGATTCTGTTTTAAAATAGTTATTTTTTCAGGATATACAGCGGATTACAGGTTTTGAAATAAGACCCTGCAAAAAATAATTAATGTCATACCTTACAAACGACATCTTAATCACATCTAAAAATGCATACTTTTCGCTTTTATAAACCAAACATATCCTTACAAATGAAAACACAGTTAAAAATGGGAAAAGAGATGTAGAAAAGTCACTACAAACAACATGTTCGAAGTACTTCAAATTTTGATGAAAAACCAATGAAATTTGCATAAGCGTTTCATTGAAACAATGTGGTTTATTTTTGACATACAAATATCGAATTTTTACAGCTTCTAAAGATAATATTAGATGTAGTTCAAAATAAATAAATTAAAAAATCGGTTTAGTAATTATGTTGTGAAAGAGTTAAAAAAGAGTCTCATATATGTATATTTATTATTATATATTACACCCTGTAACAATTTTGAAAAAAAGCT